GAAAAAAAGAAAAAAAGAAAAAAAGAAAAAAAGAAAAAAAGAAAAAAAGAAAAAAAGAAAAAAAGAAAAAAAGAAAAAAAGAAAAAAAGAAAAAAGAAAAAAAAAGAAAAAAAGAAAAAAGAAAAAAAAAAGAAAAAAGAAAAAAAGAAAAAAGAAAAAAGAAAAAAGACCCCACGTTATAAGGTTTTCTTTTGTACAGCTACTTCAAACAGCACAGTGCTCAAAACATCTAAGTGTCAGGAAATACAAAACACACACAAAGAGAAAACTGAATCAAGCAGACCCATCCGTACCCTCATCAAAAGAACGACTTTATTAGTCAAATCAGATACCTGACGTGAATAAAAAAAAAAAAAAAAAAAAAAACCCACCCAAAAACATTAACGACCACAGACAATTCCTCACGGAGCCAGGGATGGTTCCCATGAGAGGAGAGCCAGTTCTGGAACAGAGCTCACTCTGAAGCTGGCCCTGCTTGCAGCTCTGCGCTTCACTTTGTTATTCTTGCTCTTCGACCTTGTCGGTCTTGTTGTGAGGAAAGTTCATTTGGCAGCAGATGAGAAAAGCAGAGCAAGAGCAAGGGCACAGCTGAGTGATTATGCCAGAAAGCAAACACATGCAAACACGTTTGGAGCTCTTGCAAATGCAAGCCTGGCTTTACTCTGTAAGCCCATTGACAGATGAAGCAAAAAGGCGCTAGGAGAACCTGAAAGCTTTCGGGCTGAACATCTGAAAGCTGCAAAGTGCTGAGAATTAGCAGAGAACACGCACGGGAAGCCTGGCCTAGGATCAAAAGGCAGAAGGGAGTTTCTGGCTGCAGCAGGGACAGGCCGAGCGCAGGCGGCTTCCCGGCACTTCCCACACGGCCACGGAGGCGGCTCCGTCGCTGCTGCCCTGCGCGGSCCCAGGGCCGTGAGGCAGCGCAGGCGGATGGGGGGCGCCCGGGAAGCCCCCAAACACGCGGGAGCCGCCGCATCGACAGCGTTAGAAAGGGAAGCGAGAAACCCACGGGCACAACTGCTGCTTCCCCCGGCCCCAGCAGCACCCGGAGGTCCTTCCCCTTGGGCAYGCGGGTGACGCCACAGCCGGGAAGGACAGCCAGGATCTGAACCGGCCACCGCCACCGCACCAGGCAGAGACCAGTGTCTCTGCAGAGGCGGCGTGCACATGGCCTTCCAAATTATTTCCCAAAATCAGAAAARCCACAGCTAAGAAGTGAAATATTTCACCAATGATTGCCCACTAACCACTTAAAACATARATGTCATGCTTTTGCTCTACAGGCTTGATAAATTAGCAGGGAATAAGCATTAAATGTAGCCTGACTGCTAATGAAGTGTTGTTGGGAACCATTTGGGTACTAATACACATGTGCTTCAGCGCTTAACCTTGGGCTGGGTGAGTAATGTGGAGCTGTACTTACCTGGCTGTACAAATCAGCTTGCAGGTCTTTTATGTACATTGCAGTGATACTTCATGCTAAGCCAGATTAAGCTTCAGCTTTGTCACGTACAAAAGAAAAACGCACTCGGTGAAGCTACCGCATCCCCACACCAGGCAGTGCCAATTCCAGCCTCCCCGGGAGCGATGCCCCAAACCATTCCGCTGATGGGAAGCCTCATGCCGGGCACCTCATCCTCTACCCAAGACCACAGCAGCGGCCCTGGCAGCGGGAGCCCCTGGGGCAGCCACAGCCTGCAGGCTCCGGTGCGGGAGCACTCGGCTCTCCTTGTCCCACGGGAGCTGCTTCCATCCGTGCGACGGGAGCGGAGCGGAGCCCAGGCCCAGGCTGGGAAGCCAAGAGCTGGCAAGGGACACACTGAGGGCCACCGAAGAGCCCCGGGTGGCAGCCGCACTAACAGGGCAGCCCCAGCGCCTCTCGCCTCGCCGGGGTCCCCATCCCAGCGCACAACAGCGGCCTCCTGCATCCGCCGCTCCAAGACGCTGGCTCTGGGGCTCCTGCCCGCAGCGTTTCCCCCCAAGGCTACGTGCTCTACGCAGTGTTTCCAGACGCCTCTGCCCTGTGGGTCTTACACACCATTACAGACACGTCGGAACGCACCGTTACAGACATGTAAGCCCACAGTGCTCATCCCTCTGGTGAAACCTTGTCGCAAGGGTCCATCACTGGTCGCCTAACTGGACTGCTCGGTGGCGCCTCACAGAAGATGAGCTGCGGGGGAGCCCGGCTAGAAGGGAGYGCAGCAAAATCACTGACACTGACAGAGCAGCACGGCCCCTGCGCRCAGCCACGCACGTGCAAAAGCTCCAGTTACACGAGCAAGTTCCCACAAAATATCCATTCGGTGACAGTCACACGTCCCTTTAATGCCACCATGGTCTCACATTGCTCTACGGAATTGGTTCTTTCCAAGTTGAAAAAAAATTCATCACAGAATCACTGCACAGTGACACCAGGTAAACTCCTACACCGTGAAAGCTGTAGACACTTACATAGACAAAAAATACTTTATCTGGAATTTGGTTAAAGCTTTTCTTGTAATTTAATTGTATCTCAAGTATATTTCACTGATTTCATATTGTTTTCAGAAAGCAGGAGTCATTGCTACACACATTTTCACTGACGTAAGAAAGGTTTGGTAAGAGACATGTAAGAGACGGCAGAATTTTATCCTGCATCTTTGTTTGCGGAAATAAGGATTATTCTAAGTAGGCACCAACTCAACGAGAAATTAACATGAAGCCTGGAAACATCAAGCAAGCATTCAAAACAATTTCTACTTTGGTAGAAGAAAAACACTGACAATTGCTTTTGGTTAAGGATTCCCATTGGATACTTTTTTTTTCTAGTCCTCAATAAATAGAAGGTATAAGGCATGTGGAAACAAAATTCTTTAATGGCACTCGAGCTAAAAGCACCGCGGGCAAGGAATGGAGTGATTTAAACTGGGAGCCTTTTCCTTCAGAGCTGGAGACAAGTTTCATTCGCTCCAGATAAAAGGGCGAGCTGCCCACAGGCAGGTGACACAGGGGGACAAACAACCAGGAGAGACGCAGACGCGGAAGCCTCGGGACAGAGGGTGCGGAGAAGGGGACGGGGCCTGTCTCAGGGGTGGCAGCAGCACCAGGCCCGACGGCTG